AAAAGTATAAATAACCTAAGTGCTATGGAAAATATAAATAAACTAAGTGCTATGGAAAACAATTTACATTGTGCATGAAAAGGTGTGTGTGTGTGTGTGTGTGTATATATATATATATATAAGGCAATGAAAGCATACTTTAAATTACAGAAAGACTTTTTATCATTACAACCAAGCATTAGAACATCTCTTCATGTCTTTGATCACACTATCAAACCAATATTACTCTATGGCAGTGAGATTTGGGGAATCTTAAATCGCCCATCTTTGTTTAACCGCAACACTATATCTTTGCATGATTTTTACTCCAAACTAAAGTGTGAACCCATAGCAAAAAGAAATGGCATTTTTCCATTTTATCTCCATTCATTCAGCATTTTCTAGCCATTTTACATTTTAAAAACATTTTTCCTACATTTCTCTATCTTTCAATTTTCCAAAACCATTTTTTCAGAACCATTTCAAAACCATTTTTGTTAGAAAATGCTTTTTAAATGGTAAACCTTCACCATTTTTTCTCCATTTACTTGAGTAAATGGAAAAGAAATGCCAGTTTGGTGATCTAACTTGCTTGAGCTTGCCATTTTTCTTCCATTTATTTTCTGAGAAATGGAAAAATGAAGAAATGGTTAGTTTTAGGCATATTCTTAACCCTTAAGATTTGTCAGCAGTTAATTGATGCCAGGTGCCAAGTTTGTATAATGGGCCAGAGGCTATCAGATTTCCTCCCCAGTTCTGTGGTGACCGCCTTTTTCAGTTATTTTAAACATTGGACAAGAGCACTTCGACCTACCCTTACCAAACTGTTATGTTTGCTGCAGACCTGCAGCAAGTCTGCTGCAAGTTTGCAGCAAACAAAATTGTTCGCAGGAAGAAACTTTTCTTGTTCGCAGATGATTGCCGCTAGCTGCGATCTTGCGGCAAAGATTGCAGCAATTGCTGTAAGCTTGCAGCAAATTCGCAGGAACTCAACATGTTTGCAGGAACATTGCAAGAAACATACACGCCAATCTGTTGTTCGCAGCAAGTTCGCAGGAAACATTTAACAAATTGAATGTTTGCAGGAAGTTCGCAAGAACAGTAAACAAGTCAAATCAGCCAATGAAATGCAGATTGTACTGGGGTCAACACAGAATTAGCCATTTTGAAATGTTTGAATTGAAGTGTAGATGTTTCAGTATTTTGTTAGGAATACTTTTGAACATGTTGAATGATTACAAAAGCAAAATTCTGAATGTAGGTGCTAAGCTTTATAGTGATGGAGCTTAGATGGCTGAATTATTCTTCAAGGAAGATTGGGGTTTTTAGTATTTTTGATGCTGAAAAAACTGTACATTGATGATCAAAGCAGAATTATAAGACTACTAACTTCTTGGAGGATGATTATCTGACAGTTTTAATGTTTCTTATATTCGGAGAGTGGTGCAGAAGAAAAACACATTCCCCATCACTGAAAGGGTATTCTTTTTGAGAAGTTAAAGTATAAATATGCACATATTTTTATTAATGTCAACAACAGAAAAATGCTTTTTCTAAAGAAAACATGTACATAAGAAGTGTCCACTGATCATATTGATGCAATAATTAATTTATAAGCCAATCTAGTTAAAACTTAGACTGATCGAGGGACACTATTGTAAATTCTTATAAACTTCAATTATTAACTATTTTCTTGCTCACTTTTCTCAGGTAAATGGTTAAATTTCTTCTGCAATCTGTTCAACCTATTAAATCATTTGTTTCTGATGAAATAGTGAATATACAGGCAGGGCAGTACTTGTACATGTATACTTATATTGTTCATGAATACAGACCTCGTAAAAGTTATTAGATTTATGCTACAGGAGTAATGATCAGCTGCAGTAGTGAAAAAAAATGTGACAAAGCAGTTTTCTGTTCTTTTCTCATTGTGCATTTTCTTTAATTTTAGAAAAGTACTGCTTGCATATGGAACACCAAAATGAACGTGGAAACTGTAAATTGTCAAAGATGCAGTCTACCATTATTCAGATCGAATTAGGAGAATCCATCAAAATTTCTAGGAATGCAAAACAAAGTTTGTGAAAAAATAAAACATTTGACCTTTGTTTCATGACTGACTCTACTACCAAGAAGATGGATTTTCAAAGTGCTTATTCTGTGGATATCGAGAACCCAGCTTTTTTCATTTTTCAATTATTGTAAAAATGTTTTTAAAATGGATATTAAATGGTTAAAACAAAAACCATTTATTTTTCATTTTTCTTCTCATTTGCATAAATGGTTTTGGAATGGTTAATTTGCATGTTATAAGGCCCAAAAAAAAATGGAGTTTGAATGGATGTTAAATGAGGTTTGAATGGAAATAAAATGAAAAATGGTTTTTAAATGATAATCCTTTCTGTTGAGAATTCTTGAAACTGTTGATGATATAAAATGGCTCCCGAATGGTTTTAAAATGGTCAGAAAAGAAATGTCTTTTAAATGGTAATTAAATGGATTTCATTTTGATAAGGGAAAATCTCCATTTGAAATTTTGTAAATTTATCTTAGGTCTTCATAGAAAGTGCTCAAATTTTGCAACTTTGTCAGAACTTGGTAGATTTCCATTACACCTTGATGTTGTAAAAAATATAATGAACTATGTGAATAGACTAGAAAATCTTGGGACTTCTTTCCCATTATTGAATGCAGCATACCTTCAAAGTAAGCTTAATGCTAATACATGTAAATCGCAGTCATGGTATGGTACAGTATGTAAATTTCTTCAAATTGCTGGGTTAAACCATATTATTACCATAAATAAACCCTTATATTTCAAGAAAAAATGCAAAGAATTATTATATAATCATTACACAAATGAATGGTACAATATGAGAAATTTACAAAAAGGAAAACTTGAAACTTACATAAAATTTAAAACTAATTTGGTTTTTGAAAATTACCTAGCACTGTTATCACATGAACAACGCAAAGTACTTACAAGGTTGCGGACATCAGCACATAATTTACCAATAGAACGAGGTCGTTACTTAGGGATTCCCAGACAACTAAGAACTTGTACAAATTGTTCTTCTCACCAAATTGGAGATGAAATTCATTTACTCTTTGAATGCCCAAAATATAATTTACTTAGGCAAAATATGTATGAAAGTGTACACCAACATTGTAAACAAATTTTACTTCTTGATAACATGAACAAATTAATATGGATATTGAATTGTGAAAATTATGATGTTCTTAAATCCCTTTGTGAATTGATCAAGGGAGAAATATAATTAAGAAATAAACAACAATGTTAAAAAGTTCTCTGGGAAATGAACTTGGTTGGTCACGTGATCAAATCCTGTGAAGCCCGAACATTGTTGTTTATTACTTTTATTTACATTTGAGACAAATATTCTGAAAAGAACTGCATTTATTACACGAACGGCCCGCCGTATTGCTACGTTGTGACGCGCAATGACCTAGAAGCTGTTTGGTCTTGAGAGTTCGCCTCGCTCCAACATTTGAATACTTACATTGATGTTCAGCAGTCCAGTTCAGGAAATATCTGTTCCTAATGCAAAACAATGATCGCTACTGACAATAATCTTACTATTATTGTATGAGTTCTTTATATATGAAGTCAAAAGCGGTGCTATCGTCTTCCGTTTACATACCTTCAGAGGGATTTCGGGTTAAAAAGGTAAGCGTGATTTTAGGCTTTCTTCGCATCGAAGAAAGAACAAATGATCATTTGTTGAACGAAGAAAAACATATATGTTCCAATAATTTTATCTTTTTCATCGCTTTAACGGGTTAGAAGTTCCGAAACCAGTGTCACCGTGACAGAAATATGTAGACAGATATCATCGCGCTGTGTGATTCGGTCATGCCATGACCTCTGACCCCCAAATAAGTTCATACAGAATTGAACATATTTTCTCTTCAATAGGTTCATCTAAGAAAAATATTTGCAAATGTAAATAATGTGTCTTCTACATGTATATAGAATTTAATATAGAATTTAAAAATTGTATACTTTTAACACTCAATAAATGTTAGTTTGGTCATAAGATATGCAAACATGGTGACTTATAAAGTACCAATGCACTGTCCTGTGGTATCTGTTGCAATTTAGTGGAATATATCTATATTCAATTTATATTTTGTATATGTATATCTCTGGCTTTTTTGCATTATGGTACACGGTGGTACTTGTTTATACTTTACAGTGTGTATTTCAAATTATACATGTTAGCAATTATATCAACTTATGAACCAAGAGTAAATTGACTAAGTATATGTATTAAGAAAATGCTGAATATTACTATTATCACATTTTGTGAATAATTATTATATTTATATGTTCTGTTTAATAATCATGTATGTAATATGCTCAAAAGGGCCCCGATTTGGAATAATAAATAAATATACAAATATATATATATATATATATATATATATATATATATATATATATATATATATATATATATATATATATATATATACATTGTACTCTAATTAGCTCTATAAATATAAGAGCTATGGAACATTGCTTTGGACCAGAGTTCTGAACTGGTCCAAAGAGGCTGCTGCCACCACTGAGTGTGGAAGAGAATTCCACAATGTCACTGTATGGGGAAAGAAGCTAAATTGTCAGTAAACTGGAATAATCCTAGTAAATTTTTATCATAGCTTGCATTCATAAGTTTTTTACTTGGCTCTTTACAACAATCCTATATAAGGTAACACCATTGACGAAAAAACACTGTTTGATAATTTGATAATTTTTACGAGAAAATTCTGAAAAAAATACCTCACTGAGTTTCTTAGTGTTTGCTAAATGCTGTTTTCCCAAAATATTGTCATGATTGTGTTGTATTATCATTTTACATTCAAAAAAGAAACAGAAATATTTGATTGTTTTTCCAATTTTCATATGAACCATTTGGCTGCTTTTTTTTTTTAATTGATCCATTTCTGTGTGTTTGCGCCGTATCAGGTAATTTATAATTTAATCGGGTTCGGTGTGCATGAAATTCACTGTTAACAAAAACCCAAACTCATCATGCCGAGAGACGTTGGTGCCTATTTATCAGAACAACAGAGGAAAACATCGGGAGAAGTAGCATCAGAATGGGGACAGATCGAAGAGCTTTACAACAAAAAGTTCGTATGATCCATGTATATTATCAGAAAATCGTGATTTAAAGGTTTTACAATCATTAAACAAAGGGGGGGGGGGAGGGTACCGGTAATTTTTCATGAAAGATTTAATAACGAAAGATAAACACGGTGGAGAAGGATGTGTTTAAATCAAATTCGCATTTTTTGTGCACATCTTACAATTATTATTAAATTTGACAGATTATGGCATCAACTCACATTGAAACTTCTCAATTTTGTGAAGAATCCCATATTTTCAAAGGGAGATGGTCTCATCAAGGTAAGTGATAAAGGTTATGTGTAAATGTATATGAAATCTTTTATAAAGGCCCATATTATCATTAGACCAGGATCTATATTGGTTGAATAAAAGCATTTCAAAAACAATTTTAACTGTTATTCATTTGCAATTATTTCTTATCTTCATTTTTGTAGATGTATGAAAACTTCATTGCAGATTTTGAACACAGGTGAGTAGTTAGAATAATCTAACTGTGTCTCAAGACTACCCCTCACCACAGTTAGATTATGTCCCATATAGTTGCATATAAGGGCGAAACGATTACACATGTAAATGGCGACGTTTCGATTAAATGCCCTAAACATTTACAAGTTGAGTAAATGTTTACACGAAGGTCATTATCAATGTCTGTCAGAAATAAAGATTAATACAAACAAGTTGTTTTATTTCATATTTACCAATGAAAAACACAGTCTTTGTCCAATAAAAACAATTGTTTTCTGTTTTAATTGATACTGGAAACATGATATTAAACAAAACTATCTAAAATCCAATACGGTCTAACAAATTTAATTCTGATTTCAGAGTAGTGAATACCAGCAATATATTATGATTTTATTTTATTTTTCAAAGTATATGTTCTAAAATAAATAACCTTTGCTGTTGCTTTTTATTGCTTAGAAAATACAAAATATCATGCTTATAACGGTATGATGTTGTTCCGGATAAAAAGATCCATCTTTGCAAGTTTAATTTTACAATGCTTTTTCTACGTCCGGTATGTAGCCAAACAAACCATTAATGCAATATTGGGTGACAATGTAGTGAGTGAATGAGTTTAATGCGCTTCATATTCTTTTGCATAAAAACCAACAAATAAATAGCAATAACAACTTATACTTACATTATAGTGAAAGAATGGTTTATAAATTAGTGTGTCATGAGTAAGTAGCCATAAAAATTCAACACAAAATATTTTCCCGTTTAAATGGTACCATTTTGTTTACTGCTGTTTGTTTAAACGTTCACAAAATTCAGTAAACGTTTCACCCTTAATTGCAAGTAAGAGCAGATCCAATCCAAAAGAATTTTGAAGAATACAAGAGAAGTTGTGCTAATTAACCAAATTTTGAGCTTGTATATGCCTTTCACCTTATAAAATAATCCATATAATCAGATATTAGTACAAAAATTCAACTCATTTTCTCAACATATTTTCTCACTTCAAATTTACATGTCATGTTGATATTTTGAACTCTGGATTATCCATAACAATCAAGTAGATAAGAATTATCTGCCCCTGTTTATTTTTTGCTGCATTGCAAACATACGGAACAAATTCTATTAAACTGGGTACAAAGGTCGATATCATTTTACCAATACATGTATAATATTCTACGTAATTCCCATGTGTAGATGTACATGTTTCATACAAGAGTAGATATTGATGCATATGCCTTAAAAATATGCTAATTTAAACATCTGTTTATGTTTTCATAGTAATTGAAAATTTGATGATTTTTCTGAAAGAATTTTGAGAATCCTGTTAAATTGAAGTATTTATTATGTTTATGATCAGGATCATTTCTGACATCAGATTTCAGTGAAATTAGTGCATGTAGTTTAACACCACTGACCAGATATTAATTTTTGTTTGTAGAATCAACCTGTTGGCTTTGGCTGAATTAACTGTGTTTATAGTCAAACAGATGACAGGTATGGGCTGTACATCTTTGCATAAATAAATTTGCATTTTGCAATTTTAATCATCAGTGTTCATGGGGGACTAATGTTCATCAATTTCATGGGTCACCCTATTCTAAGAATTTACATCCCCCAAAACAAATATTTTGTCAACATATTTATTCGTTGAATCTTCTGTATATACAACATGTATAATGATATACAAGTTACCCATAAAATTACGTTTTCATGGACCAGTGAAATTTTCCTTGCTCATGAACATTGACCCCCATAAATTAAACAGTATCAGTTGTGTGTTGATAACTTCCATAATAGCAGAGAACATTCAAAATAAGACGTGAAAATAAGAAGATGAAAGAAAAATCTGTTTTTGTATGAATATTTCAAGATTTTTTAGGAAAAAAATTGACAAAACACAGTATGATATACATTTTTATGATATACATGTTTTATATCTCTTTGGAAACATTTTCATTTCAATATTTAGATGTTGAAGCTGCTGTATCATTTATTGAGAAAATGAAAGAGAAAGTAAAAGCCAGCGAGGAAGCAAAGATACTGTGTCTGACGACAATGGGAACAATAAGACTGAGAACACGTGACTTACCGGCAACAAAGGTACTTAATATATATACACTATACAGTTAACAGTGTCAGATCCTCATGGTGGATACTTGTATAGACTATATAGTACCAATTTCACAATGAGAGCATCAGTAAATGCTCCTAAACTTATGGCCACGTCGTAAAATGTAATTTCACTATCAAGTCTTTGTAGAATACTGTAGAATGTATCCACTTATTAAACCATGCAATTTAGATTTATAAAAATTCCTTGTATAAAGCTAACACTATTTTCAAAAGTGATTCGTTTAATGTGTATTCATAATGATCTTGGTTGAAAGGAGAAATACTAATGTTGCATGTATGTTGATTTACTCAAAGCTTCAAAACTTTAAATATATATATGCATTATTTGATTTAAAAAAGAAAGTGTTCATATTTCATTTATAGTAAGTTATATATAGAAAACATTGCTGATTCAATTGATCCTGTCTCATAAGTTTGAAAATTCTGAATACAATTTAATTTGAATTATAAATACATTTCAGACAATAGTAGAGGAATGTAGTGGTCTGTTGGATAGCTTGGATGGTGTCACGCCTGTACACGGACGCTTCTATGAATTGTCCAGTAACTACCACAAACTAATGGGGAACCATGCCATGTATTATCAGGAAGCCCTCAGGTACCTAGGCTGTACCGATCTCGAGGATATACCAGGTTTGTCAAATTGTGCACATTGATTTGTCTAAAAATTGTATATACATTTTATGGTATGTATACATGTATTTGTGTTATGGGCAGTTCAATACTAGTACTGTTTTGCTTATGACATGTTTTGTCTTTCTCCTTACACACAAGCTGGAGTAAGGAAACCAAACAAAACAAATTATATTCAAATATATAATGTTATTATCTATTATCATACACATCAGAGTTTGGTTTCAGAATTAAATAGAAAAAGAAATAAATAAACAATATCGAAACATTAAGAAGTATTCCTTTTTCTGATTGTGTTCAGAAGTACACCTTCCAGTGTCTTAGCATCTTACACACACTCTTTTTCAATGCAGGCATTTTTTGTAAATATTAAATAATTCAAACTGATTGTTACCACCAGTATGGCCTATGATTTCTTCTTATACTTGAAACGATTTTTTATTTATTTGGTACAGCATCAGAGCAAGTAGAAAGAGCATTCAATCTAGGTTTAGCAGCCATCTTGGGTGATGGGGTCTATAATTTTGGTGAACTGGTAAGTGTGGATTCATTATGAGGATTGGGTTTTCCCTAGTTGTGAAAGCATGAGGAAATTACTAAGTTTTGAAATTCTGGATATAGTAATGTAAATATTAATGTAAAAATTGACAGAAATTGTATTGATTTCATGACAATATTCTAAATTTAGTAAAATGTTCCTTGCAGTTTGAAATTTGAGTTACCCATCATGAAAAATGAATATATTAGATAGTTGAAGGGAAGTAATCTGCAATTATGATCATTAAAGAATACAATTGTTCTCTCTTACCAGTTAGCCCACCCTATCCTGGAATCATTGAAGACAACAGATAAAGCTTGGCTAACAGATCTTTTGTTTTGCTTCAATAGTGGAAATATCCCCAAGTTTGAAGAACTTAAGAAATTCTGGGGGGCACAGGTATTGATTGATAAATAAAAGTAAAATCTATTGAAACAAGTTCATTAATTGTAAGAAAAAGAAAATATGGAAAAAAAGCTTAGTGTATTGTATATGGCCAATATATATGATATTCAAAATGTTTAAAATTCTTTTTAAAAAATGTTTTTCATTGCTAATTTAGGCAAGCAGCAAATATTTGGGAATGGAAAATACATGAATGTTAATTACTTCACACCCTGTTAACTTTCAGGCAGATTTAGCTGCTAATGAGATACCAATGAGACAAAAGATTTCACTTCTCTGCTTAATGGAGGTAAGTCTTGTGCAAATATAAACATATACATGTAAACTAGCTTTCACTGACATGTTTGAATGCTATATCCTGAAAACATGGATAATGTATATGTGCAAACATGGACAAACTATTTATTCTGACAGATACATAAAAAAATTGCTCAGGCAAGGCAGTGTTAAAATGATGTGTTTTTTACTCAACAGTTTAGCAATTCAGAATGTATATCCGCATCATTTATATTACTCTGCAGGGTTTCTGAGCTCAGACATGCAAAGCAAAAAAAAGTTTTATGATAATCTTGTATCATAAGGTTTGTGCTACTTTTGCTCTTGTAGATGACTTTCCAGAGACCAGCAACAAACAGACAACTGACATTTCATGAAATTGCAGACCAAACAAGACTGCCTAATAATGAGGTTAGAAAATAATTATAAAATGTTCAAGACACCAGTTCTACTTGTGACAACTTCAAAGTTTGTCATAAAAGACAAAAGTGTGTTCTTGGAGTTTGAAGGGTTCAGCAATATTGAACATTGAGTAAGATACAATAAAAGGGGACTAAATTTAAAATAGTTTTCATCAGAAGATATAAGTATTTACTATGTGTACATATAAAGTAATATAGATGTAATTTTACTTAGAAAAGTAATTGGTACATGTAATTTCACAAATACTGGTGTGTGCACTACATACATGCACAACAATGCTTTAAATGTTTTTGGTGGAAATTTTATAAACTGATGTTACTGTAAGCTTAAACTTTTCACATTACTGAAGTTGTATGTTTGACAACTTTGTTGAGAATTTCATTGATGGATAAATTTGTGATTTACTATCTATACTGAAACAATTACATATATTATAGTAGAATTAAGAATTTCACAAGTACCAATATGACCAACATTGAGTAATCATTTTTAGCTCACCTGAGCCAAAGGCTCAAGTGAGCTTATCTGATCAAAATTTGTCCGTTGTCTGTCGTCGTCATTGGCGTCATCGTTGTTGTCGTAAACTTTTCACATTTTCATCTTCTTCTCCAGAACCACTGGGCCAATTTCAACCAAACTTGCCACAAAGTATCCTTGGGTGAAGGGGATTCAAGTTTTTTCAAATGAAGGGCCACGCCCTCTTTCAAGGGGAGATAATTAAGAATTAATGAAAAAATAAATGCATCATTTAAAAATCTTCTTCTCAAGACCAATAGGGCCACGAAAGATGAAACTCATGTGGAAGCATCTTCAGATAGTGTAGATTCAAGTTTGTTCAAATCATGACCCCCGGGGGTAGGGCGGGGCCACAATGGAGGATCAAAATTTTACATAGAAATGTATAGGAAAAATCATTAAAAATCTTCTTCTCAGGAACAGCAAAGCCACGATGAGTCATATTTATGTGGAAGCATCCTCAGGTAGTGTAGATTCTATTTTGTTCAAACCATGACCCCTGGGGGTAGGGCGTGGCCACAATGGAGGATCAAAGTTTTACATAGAAATATATAGGAAAAATCTTTAAAAATCTTCTTCTCAGGAACAACAAAGTCATGATGAGTCATATTGATATGGAAGCATCCTCAGGTAGTGTAGATTCAAGTTTGTTCAAATCATGACCCCCGGGGGTAGGGCGGGGCCACAATGGAGGATCAGAGTTTTACATAGAAATATATAGGAAAAATATTTAAAAATCTTCTCAGGAACAGCAAAGCCCAGATTGCTCATATTTATATGGAAGCATCATCAGGTAGGGTAGATTCAAATTTATTCAGATCATGACCCCCGGGGGTAGGATGGGGCCACAAAGTCTTAAATAGAAATATATAGGAAAATATCTTCTTCTGAAGAACTGCAAACCATGATTAGTCATTTTGATATGGAAGCATCCTCAGGTAGTGTAGATAAAATTTTGTTCAAATGATGACCCCCAGGGGTTGGGTGGGGCCCATTGGGGGATCGAAAGTTTTACATAAGAACATATAGAAAAAATATTTCTTCTCAAGAACAGGAAAGCTATGTTTAGTCATATTGATATGGAAGCATCCTCAGGTAGTGTAGATTCAAGTTCAAATGATGACCCCTTGGATAGGGAGGAACCACAATGGGGGATCAAATTTTTACAAAGGAATATATGGGAAAATTGTTTTTAAATCTTCTCAAGTAACCAACCCCCCCCCCCCCCATCCCCCATCCCCCCCCCCCCCCCCCCCCCCGGTAATCTTTTCAATACTGAACTGATTTGTGCTTTTGCCTAGCCAATGTGCTCAGGTGAGCGATGTGGCCCATGGGCCTCTTGTTTTTTATACAGGTTGAGATGTTGGTAATGAAGGCCCTAAGTTTAGGTCTTGTCAAGGGATCTATTGATGAAATTGATCAGAAAGTACACATGACCTGGGTTCAACCTCGTGTCCTTGACCTTCAGCAAGTAAGTATGGATTGGGTTATCCAATATTTTTCTTTTTCCAAAAACTTCCTTTGATTTTTCAATACACTTATAGTTTAATAAGGGAGACGAAGGCTCCTTCTCCTTGTAGCCAGTGAGAGAAACTAGTAATATTAAAAAATAATGCTCGGGGAGATTTCCAGCAGTTTAAAAAAAATTCTTTGGATTTTTGCAGAACATAGGTTCATTGTTGTAAATAACCTAGAGAAACTGGTGATACTTGATAATGATTGTAGATTGCCACAATGCAGAAGCGCTTGGAACAATGGACAGAGGATGTTAAAGGAATGGAACAACTATTAGAAGTGAAGGCCAAGGACATCCTGACATAATCACTGCCCTACATTTTACCTCATCATGATTCATTGACTGATAATAATAATTAATAAGTTCTGATATGGTGTTTTGTAGAAATTCAGAGATGTAGGAATTAAAAACATTCTTACTCTACTTTCTCTTGTTTGTGAGATTCAGGTTATGGACTTTGGGAATGTTTCTTTTTGTGAATTAAAACATCCTTGTTGAACAGATGACTGCATAAATATTCTTCCTCAGACTACATACATGTATGTAGAAAATTTAATGTTTGTCCATTGTAAATTAGACAGAGGTGGATTTTGTTTAAGGATCTTAACTTATTTCTTTGCCCAAACTCGATATTAATAATAATTTCTTGCATATTCGTTCTGCAGTCAATTTTTTGTGTCTTGGCTAAGCTTAAGGACACTTCAAAAATAATCTTGGCATATCAAACATACAGCTGTCTCTCCTGATTTAGATATCGTCAAAGTCACTGAAGGGGGTCAGAAGGTGTTTCTGTAGAATCTTACCCGGAGGCTTGTTCATAATCTACATTTATGTAGGAAGGATTCTCAGACTGGCCAGCGAAAGGGCAGAGTTTTAGTTCTCTGTGCTTATGCATGTACAGCAATACATACATGTATATTACTCAGTAACCAGATTTGTCCTCTCATTAGATGCTTTGTTCATTAGATTATTTATTAATGATAAGATCTGAGCAAGCCTTTGGGGTTGGGGCATCTTGTAAGGAAAGCACAAGTTTTTAAGAACGAGGCATTTGAGCATGGCCTTCTATAGTTTAGCTATATATGTGATATGTTATATATATATGTTATATGTGAACAGTGAAACCTGGATATATCAAAATCTTGGGGACCTTAAAATTTTCCATGATACTATTTTTTTCATGCTGGTTTTTCTTTAATTATGGTATCTAAATAAATGTATCCTTATGAATTACTCAATCATTCTGTTTTATGATCTTGTTCAACTGTTCATCATCTAGAATTTCAAATTACATGTAATTATAATGTATTCAAAATATATATACATATATTATTTAAACTAATATTTTACCTATGTATACATATATACTGTGGAATCAACATTTATATTTATGGGGGGCCGATATTTGCACTTTTCAACAAAGGACAATTTTGTCATTGAAGATATTGGTGAATTAATCCTCTACAAATACAAGTTACCCATAAAATTATGTACCCATGCAACAACAAAATTTTGTTGCCCATGAGCACTGAACCCCCCCCCCCCCCCAATTAAAATGATTACACAGTATTCCCATGCTGCTTTTGATTCAATAAGTTTTTTTTTCCCAAGTATTGGAATGTTTCAAAGCATTCAATCCCAATTTCTCTGGTCTAATTCCACATTGTCTATACAAGTATGCTGGTCATTTAAAGATTCTTGAATTATAATTTTTCTTGGGGGGAAGGGGGGATTTTAGACATCAGATGAGATTACAAGAGCAATTAATGATGAGCAAAATTGCTCCAAGTTATCTCAAAACCATGAATCATTCTCATTCTGATAAAGTCAACAACGGTACTAGTTTACTTAAATATATGTAACGAGCTTTTTAAGTGCCTTTGCATGAGATTGAACCCTGGACCTCTTGCATGCCAGTCAAGCAGATTGCAGTGCACTACCGATTGAGCTAAAGAGTAAATTACCCACAAGCCCCAATGTAGTATGAAGCCATGAATCAAGCAGTACCACATATACATAAAATTTACAATCTGAAGAAAACGCATGGATTTCTAAAAAAAAAAAAAAAAATCCAATTCAGGTTTTAATTTAAGTGAACATTTTTAATGTTTTAAAATGACTTGTAAACAATTTTGTAAACATTTGAAACTAACAGTCAAGATTTGCTCTATAAATGATTAAAAAGGAAACAGAACATCATAAAATACTCTCACTCAGTGAGCATACCACTATCATGTACCTCACATAATAAGGAATATGTACAAGATTTATTGTTACATCATTATTTCCCAGATTTCTTTTTTGTTTTTTTGGCCACAGATATTAAGACTTTAATTATAAGCAAACATATCACTATTTGCCGAGACTGAATATTTGTTCAGATAATCATGATTGATCCTGATGTACAGTCTGTACAGGTTAATTTACAGAAAGTTGAAATCAAGCCAAAAATATTGGTTAATCATTTACTGAACAAGCCAGACTTGATGAATAGAATGTACATATGGTGTATATGATGTTAAATAAGCATCTAAGAAGTTTGTGGTTCCTCTTCAAATTGTTGTAACTGAAATAAAAAAGGAATATAATTAATATGGGAAATTAGAGCACTTTTTCCCATACAATCACCTAATTTATACAGATTAAAGAGTGCATTTAATTAATTCATAGTAAAAAAAAAAAAAGCTGACTAAAGGAGAATGTAGATGAATAAGAAATGGCTGTTGAAAATAAAAATGTTTTGGCATCCATCTTGACATTAAACTTAAGACGGTTTTCTGGATTTCATTTCAGTATGTACATGTATTTGGTTGTATTTCTTTTAGACTCTAATCCCAGAATCTTAAGAACACAATTATACAAGTTTGAAGAACTATCTCCATTAGAAAAAGTTTAATTACACTTTGAAGGAAAAGCATGAAGATGCCAATCAAATTAATGCTAAGAGAAATATGTCTGAGATGTGTGTTCTATGAAAATTTTACCTTTGCTCTCATTTCCTGGTTTTCTTCTGTCAATTGTTCCACTTTTTGTCGGAGTTCTGTCACTTCTAATTTTAGGGCTTCAACATCAGCTGTCTCTGGTCCTGAGGCCCCTAAATGCTGCTTCAAAAAGCTTAGGTAACAAGTTAAAGAATTTAAACAAGAGAACAGTCATAAGTTTCAATCAAACTCGGTGCAGTCCACACAGAGACTTTGTGAACCTGATAATGAGATAACTGAAAACCAGCTATTATTCGCGTCATCTTTTATTCGCAATTTGTAAGTTTGAAATCAATCCGCAACGACTAATTTTTGCGTCTGAGGAATTATTCTATACAAATACAAAGCAAAATAAATGGTTCGCAGGGATTAATATTCGCGAGTTCAAAAAAGTCGCAAAACTCATGGATATTTTTCGCACACATATAAAAAGTAGTTGGTTTACAGTAACTGACAATTAAAAATTTTTCTACTTTTGTATGAGTGTGTTTTTGTTTGGAATAAAAAAAGTTTAAGTACTATCATGACAGTGATCTGTTTTGACTGAGAAAAGGATACTCTAATGCATTGTTTGGTTTTTCTGGTTCTTCATACAATCCCACCAACACTGAAATAGAAAACAGCTGTTAAACATACATTACTATAATTTTTCCATCAAAAATAAATGTGTACAAGATGTCACAATGAAGTCAAATGCAAAGACTGGAGTAGTGTACCTCCTTTCAATAAAAAAAAAAAAAATATCTCACTTGGGATTTGGAAACATTTAATTGTTACCTTTTGTGAGTGCATCTAGAACACCAGCTTTTTCTAGGTACCTCCTAAACTCTTCCCTCTTTGAGTCTGCTCCCTGAAAAATTGGATGGCATTAATTACATGTAATATATATATATGTCTGCAACAATGCAGTTTCTTGATGTACTTTATGACTAAATTTTTCTGCATAAAAGCTGTTAAATAAAAATACATGTAACTTTCAGCTACTGACAAGAAAAGAAGACTAGATCAAACAGAGAGAATTCATAGCCTGATTTAAAGCTTAAAGAAGTAAATGTAAAAGTTAATAAAATTTACTTAAAACTATTTTTTCTTACTTCCTATAATAATGATAAGTTGAAAATATGTGTAAAAGATGTGTAAAACATTTAATCTGTTTGAAATTATTGAAGAAAAGATTGACAGTACCTATGTTTATGCTAGGCCTCATTTTACTTAACATAAACAAAACCACATGACTTGAGTCAAGGGAAACACACCACTTTGAAGAAATCACTCAACTTTGACTGATTTTGACCCCCTTTTACCTTATTTTGAAGTACATTTTCATGTTCAATTCCAATTTTTATTCTAAATATAATTTTTTTTGCTGTTGATATGAAGAAAGAGTACTCCTTTTGTTTCAAACTAATTTAGTTTTATGAAAAAATTACTTCTATAAGAATTTTTTTCAAAGGCAATTATTGGACTTTTTTATGACCTGTTTCAAAAAATTACATACATGTATTTCAGTTATGTTTTAAAAGAGGTAACTCTTCGCAATACTGAGTGACTAATTTTTAATTTTTTTTTTTTCATTACTGAATTGTTTAAGCAAAACCCCTGACTGTTCACCCTCAAAGATACAAAACCCAAATTTTTTTGCCCCTGGCAAGTCCAGGGGTGGATAATGGCTCCAAATGTAACTAGAAATGTTGATGGATGTACTGGAATTGACCTAGGACCCTGCATCACTAGGCAGGTGCTCCAAGCTGAGTCTAACCACTGAGCTATCTACCACATTAGAATACCACATCACAGGCACTTGTTTCATATATGGGGCTGTCCCTACTTATTTCTACCACAAGATACCTAACTCAATTTCAGGTACCCCCACTTCAAGGCAGTATTCTATCAAATTATTGATCATTAACCTACTTCAATAAGACAGAGTTCGCTTCTATAGACTTTTTTCTTTTCAAATATATTGTTCCAGATGTCCTTGTTCAAGTCTCTTCATTGTAAACCACTCATTTATTCCTTGAATATTACCTCATGGCATTTTAAAACTTTAGACGGATACAAGAACTTCTGGTAATGGTTACAGTATAGGATAAAACCAGAGACTTCCGAACTTTTTATTCTGAAGTCTCTGGTTTTGTCTGACACTATAACCGTAACCGAAAGTTCTTGTATCCCCTCTTAAGTCTTATAATGTCATTAAATAATTTCTGAGGAATAAATAAGTGGTTTACAATGAAGATCGAGGCTTGAACAAGGGTGTTTGAAAAGAAAAAAGTCTGTAGAAGCGAAGTATGTCTTATTGAAGTAGGTTAATGATTGATAATTTGATAGAATACTGGCTTGTCGTTGGGGTGCCTGAAACTGAGTTAGGTACCTTGTGGTAAAATTAAGAAGGGGTGCCCTGTATACGTAACATGTGCTTGTGTACGACATGCCCTTCAGACAGCTGAATATGCCCCGCTTCGTATACGTAAACTTATTAAAGAAAATCTAACACTTTTGAAGGGAGGATTTTCTATGTTTTACATGTATGTTTTATAACGCTTATCTATGATTTATCAAAGTGTGTTACCTTAACACTGAGGTTAACAGAAAATAGCTTTTTGTTTGAAAGATACAATAATACATGAAAGATACAATAATAGTGAATACCACAGAGAAAATTACGTCACTGAGGTCCATACCTAAAGAAGAAAAAACAACGCATTCCTAGAAAAAATACAAATTCAACATGTGCTTACCCTGTAAGTAGTCATTTTCTTCTAATTTTGAACGCTGTCAGTGGTAAATATTGTCGAACACCGTTGCTACCTGTAATGGGCATGCGCAGAACGCACTTTAGAGTATTTAAAAGTAAAATTGGCCATCGAAGATTACGGATATCCGGAATATATAATATCAAAATAATAAACTAACACAATAAAATACCTTCATAGAATTTTTTCTAGAAGTTTATTACTTATAATTAAAAAATTTCCAAAATTTGCCCAGAGGATAAACAATATTATACAAATCGATTCAGTACACTGAGCTCTTCTGACTGTGGAGGTACAAATGTGAAAAGGCGGGTGGTGAACTTGTGGAAAATGGAACAGAGCTCTGCTTCAACATACAATATCCCATGTCATGACATAGTAAATACTGTAGAGTTTTGTCCTTACGATTGGTGCTCGACATTGCTTGCAGTTGGGACGAATTCACGAGTAACAATATACCGCTGTAGATTTATCAATGAGGTCAGTGAATAAGTGGAATATGAGGTCAGTGAATATAGGTGGAATATCTATATTTATATAATTTGATATTTCCACTCCAGCAGATTTTTTGCAGCTATATTTACAAACTGATTTCTACATTACTAGCAATTATTAGATGGAAATACCCTGTGGAATTCATTTATGACCATCCAACCTTTAAGATATGAAAATATTTTGTAAACCTTCAAGTGAGTTTAACTGTTTAAGATCCTAGCAGGGTTCCAATGTATTCTTTCTGGCAATTACTACATAATTATCATGTGATAACATATATGTGTAATAATATCATAAAATCAATGAACTGATAAGTTTATCTTTGTCACTGGGTTAAGGTCAGTCAATATATCGGGGTGGTTAAAGCTCTGGCACTGTACATAAGAGGCCCTGGGTTTGAGTCACAGTTGAGACTTGACTTTTCAGCACCTGTGAATTGAAATAGCAGGGGACAAGTAATGAAGTAGAGGGGGGTCTTGGGTTGCTCCCCTAACAGGGGGTTGAGGGAGAATGCCAGAGTAACTGGGGGATAATGCCATTATAGGCACGGAAATTCTCCAACCCCAGGTCTTAGGGACAACCATGTCATTTGGCAGATGCATTGGGTTCCAGGGCTCGAAATAATTGATGGCCCGCTGGTCTGGGGTCAGTGAATTTTCAATCTGGGCTAGTACATTGCAGAAGGCATGTGTCCTTTGGGTCAGCATCTTTTTATGCATAATAAAATTCATTCACAGTCGGACTAGTTAATTTGACAGTGTTGTGTGTCCCATCTTCTGCTGTTTCTTGTTTTGTTAAATTGTACTTCTAAGTATCACAATATAAAAAAAAAATATTACTATTATTATTATGGTTTTGGACCAGTCTTTTTAAAATCTACTGGCTCAGTGGGACAGTGAAAGTACTAAGCTAACCAGTAAAAATTTAAGGCGATAGCCCGAGTGACCAGTAAACAAAAAAAAATTATTTCTAGCCCTGGGTTCACTATGTAGTCTATCTCTCCTTCTGATCTCTGTCATGGAATTTAGCTGTCAGGTGTGAATGTGGCTGTTGACCAAAATATCACAATCAGGTGACACATTTTCACTGAACACTTTTCTTTTTCATTATTTGAAGGAAGATGAAGGGGAGGAGTCCATGCATGAGGATTTTGATTTCAAGTTGTTGATAGACATACAAAATGGCTGTCCTGTGCGGTCTCTCTCTTGGTCACCGGTGACGTCGTACAAGTCGTATGAACAGCTGGACACTATCAGGTATATAATATCTATATGGATGTATTCGTTTATTCAGTGTGAAGAGTATGCCTGTACTGCTTATCTCTTTAACCAGTAGTTTTCATTTCAAAATGAGGGTGTCAACTTCAATTGTACATGTATGTGTATGTAAAGGGGGGGGGGGGGGTTATACTGATTGGCAGCTATTTCAATTAGTATGGTTACCTGTTGTTGAATACAGAAATTTTTTACACATATGCATTACATGTACATGTATCATGTATAAAACTAAGTGCAACATCTCTCTCCTATTCTTTTGTTTTCCCTCTTTAGAATTGCAGCAGCTGGGAGTGACAACAGAATAAAAATATTTACAACAGATCTGGTGGAAGGAACAGAAGCCGAGGTAATGATAAGAGCAATCTGTATATCCCTAGAAAGAACCCCCCCCCCCCCCCCAAATACTAATAATAATAATAAAATAAAAAAATTGAAAAATTTGAAGAAAAAAAAATGATTGCATAGGGATGATTTTGATGGGTTTGTTGTAGTACATCAAACAAATCATTTTTTATTGTTGACCTTACTAAATTAAGAAAATTAGATAAAAGCAAACAATTTACTTGTTTCTACATGAACAATTCTGAGTGAGATGTCTTTGTTTTTCAACTGTTATTAAGTACAACATCTTTAGAACTGTAAGAACTGGTTGAAGTTTTCCCTATGCATTCACTGGTCCATGGACTACCAAGCTTGAGAAATTCCCTAGTCAATAACATTAATTCACTAGTCCATTGGAAAATAAAAAAAAAGAGAAATGTTTGTTAACTGTTTTGGCACCTTCAGTATCACACTGTCATCCTGATGCTATCAAACTGACTCTTTAAACTTGTTTCATAATTTTTATAAAACTTGAACATTATCTTGTTAGGGTGATGTAAATGTATTCAATAGTAAACTAGTCCTCAAAATGCACTTGTGAACCAGCTTTTTACAAGAATAAATGAGTGCTGATGAAATTTAAAAAATAATGATACCTTGTAAATCTTTTTTTCTGCTTAATGAGACTAGTCCAGAGAACTATTGGTGGGCGATAATTAGCTAGTCCACCCCAAAAACTTAATATGGTCCAGACCAAAGACCACCATATTTTTTAATATTTTTAAATACCTGAACAGGGAGGCTATAACGACATGTAAAAATCTTCATTAATTTTAGAGGACTACTGGTAGGTAGTGCCTTGAGCAGATTATATTATTTGCTAATGAACATGATGTGCAGTTTTAGGTATACATGTATTGAACAATCATAATACTTTTCATTCTACATGTAGCAAGTTTTTTTGGTGACTAGGTACTTGAGGGTCATTCTGATTTTATCAATGCCCTCACCTACAACCCAGAAAATGGTGACATTCTGGCCTCAACAGGAGATGATTACACATGTCGATTATGGGGTAATGATGGTAGTCAACAGGCATGCTTCCAACTGAGTGCCCCCGGGATGTCAGTCTGCATCCACGAAAAAGAATCTGGGAAGGTGAGGTACATGTATTTCGTATCATGCAATTTTAAAGAAATCTTGGTAACTACAAACCAAAAATCTGAATGTTACATTTGATAGATTAAGTCACAAAAGAATTACTGTAGATTTTTTATTTTTTGTGAGTACTTCATATCGCGAAATGGCTCTTTGACAATAAATCGAGAGAACAGTAATTCGCTAGTCCACGATTGATCAAGATATTTAACATGTTTTTCAGCACCATAAAAATATTATTTTGTTATGGTCTATCTGCCGAAGGTGAAAAACTGCAGTCATAGTCCCCAAGTTAATATATGTACCACTACGATAAATATTTTAATCATGCTTGACATACTACGATAGTTATATCTGAAAATTTTCAGCTTTCATTCAAACTTTAAAGGTATAAGTATGCAAAGAAATATATACTACCTCATTAACCTTCCTCAAATAAGGAAATGATAATTGGTTAACCTGTTGAGAGCAAAAGCTTTTCATGATTTGCCCATCTATGCTAACACAGTACATATAGTAAAGTCACACATAGAAAATATTGACAATCATACATGTATTCATTTGGCAAGTGCTTTTGGCATGATACCACATGATACAGGTAATTTACAATCGGTATGCCTGTCAGTGCTAGTTTACCTTTTGTTTACAGGTGGTACCATATGATACCATATACTGTGGTTTCATTAATATTCGTGGGCATCAATTTTCGTGGATTTAGTAAAAATCACTGTTTCGAGGATACGTAAATTCGTGGATAATGATCATACCAAAAAAATTACCTTTTAATTTTTTTCACTCTCTATATGCTTCAGCGGGAATCTTCACGCCATTTACAATGTTAAGAGTATGTTAATATTTTAAAACAATTACTTACAGGTGACAACTCTTTAATTTATTCTTTGTATTTTACTCATCTGTATTTTTAAAGTCGGAACCTTCAAGCGTTTACAACGCAGTGTACATGGTATAACAATAAAGGGTGAGGAATTCAAAACACCGTCTCCATTGTAAGACTATGATCTCAACTGGCAAATTAAATATCGGATATTGAAACAGATTATTAAAAACAATTAATTAAAATAGACTTTAATTTAATCAACGTTTCGGTTAAAAGGTGTGCAAGTATCTTAAAATATTAAGACAATTTGGATTTTTTCTTTTAGGCGCACATACGGACGATAATTAAGTTGGCAGCAGGGTATTAAAAAGTAACAAAAATAATTAAGTACTTAAATTTACAAAATGGTGTTAGGGACTTTTTTCACATGCACAGCGTGTTGTTTTTGGACTCGACAGTGACATCCAGACCCTCTTGTTTGCAGATCTCTGAACAAACACATCCACGCTCGCCGGATACGACGCAACGCTTAAACATGCAAAGTGGACGACAAACAAACCTTGAAGGGCTTCGAAACGGCAGGACTTCCGAACATACATACATGTACCCGCTTTCTCATGTTCAAATTAGAATAAAATTGTGTTTATAATTTGTATTTTTAAGCCAATTATGAACAGAGAGTAATTAATTATTTCTACCGTAATTTTTATTTTACGGTAATTTGTGTTCACATTGTGTAGGTGATAATTGGTGTTGGACCATTAGATTGTTTGAGAATAACAAATTTACACATTTAAACCTGATTATTTATCATCCTTTGTGTTATACCTCTGATTAGTATATGAACCGCGGTTCTACGTACATTTTGTTTGTTTATCCCCGTGCAGAATATTTAAATATATTTTGCTAAAAATTGCCAGATAATTATCAAACAGTATTTTTTAAAAAAATATTCCTTAAAATGATAAAATACATTTATAAGGCCAACCTGCTGGGGAAAGGGGGGTATTCACATATATTAACGAAAGTCGTAATAGCTTTTTAAAGGTTTATCATAAATCAAAATGGAGGCACCAAACTTCGATGAACATTTGATTTCGTGGATCGACTCAAAAACGAAATCCACGAAAATTGGTGTTCCACGAATAATGATGAAACCACAGTAATACAGGTAATAAACAATCAGTATGCCTGTCAGTGTAAGTTTATATTTTGTTCACAGGTGGTACCATATGATACCATATGAGACAGGTAATAAACACTCAGTATGCCTTTTGGTGTAAGTTTTGGTTGTTGTTTACAGGTGGTGGTAGCCCAGAAGAACGGCATCATTAAGATGTTTAGCCTTGACCTCCAGCACCAGATCAGTTCCTGTGACTGTGGGATTTCCCCCCTGATGGGGATAGACTGGTGTCGGGAGGACGAGGACATCATAGGAGCTGTAGCGGGCACAGAGTGGCTGGTGTTCCAGTTATCTAGGTCAAGGTAAAGAGTGTAAACATAAAAAATAATGTTTGAAGTCCATCTGTAAACATAAAGTTCAATATTTTTTTAGCTCACCTGAGCTGAAAGCTCAATTGAGCTTTTCTGATCACATTTTGTCTGTAGTCCATCTGTCCGTCCGTCTGTCTGTAAACTTTTCACATTTTCGACTTCTTCTCCAGAACCACTGGGCCAATTTCAACCAAACTTGCCACAAAGCATCCTTGGGTGAAGGGGATTCAAGTTTGTTCAAATGAAGGGCCACGCCCTCTTTCAAGGGGAGATAATAAAGAATTAGTGAAAAATTAATAGCATCTTTTAAAAATCTTCTTCTCAAGAACCACAGGGCCAGGAAAGATGAAACTCATTTGGAAGCATCCTCATGTAGTGTAGATTCAAGATTGTTCAAATCATGACCCCCGGGGGTAGGGCGGGGCCACAATGGAGGATCAAAGTTTTACATAGAAATATATAGGAAAAACCTTTAAAAATCTTCTTCTGAAGAACAGCAAAGCCATGATGAGTCATATTTATATGGAAGCATCTTCAGGTAGTGTAGATTCAAGTTTGTTCAAATCATGACCCCTTGGGGTAGGGCGGGCCACAATTGAGGATCAAAGTTTTACATAGAAATATATAGGAAAAACCTTTAAAAATCTTCCTCTCAAGAACAGCAAAGCCATGATGAGTCATATTGATATGGAAGCATCCTCAGGTAGTGTAGATTCAAGTTTGTTCAAATCATGACCCCTTGGGGTAGGGCGGGGCCACAATGGAGGATCAAAGTTTTACATAGAGATATATAGGAAAAACCTTTAAAAATCTTCTTCTCAAGAACAGCAAAGCCATGATGAGTCATATTGATATGGAAGCATCCTCAGGTAGTGTAGATTCAAGTTTGTTCAAATCATGACCCCGGGGAGTAGGGTGGGGCCCAATGGGGGATCAAAAGTTTTACATTAAAATATATAGAAAAAATATTTCTTCTCAAGAACAGAAAAGCTATGTTTAGTCATATTGATATGGAAGCATCCTCAGGTAGTGTAGATTCAAGTTTGTTCAAATGATGACCCCTTGGATAGGGAGGAGCCACAATTGGGGATCAAAGGAATATATGGGAATTTTTTTTTTAAATCTTCCCAAGTACAACAAAGCCATTTGTTATATTGACATGGAAGCATCATCAGGTAGTTTAAAATTCAAGCCCCCCCCCCCCCCCCCCCCCCCCCCCCCCCCCGTAATCTTTTCAATACTGAACTGATTTGTGCTTTTGCCTAGCCAATGTGCTCAGGTGAGTGATGTGGCCCATGGGCATCTTGTTTTTGGTGATTTTGCCCTTAGTAAATATGAAAATTCACATGCCATTGCAATATAAGTATGTTGTATTATATAAAACTGAATTTCCTTTAAAATAAAATGACGTTTTAAGAGTAAGACATTGAAAATTTCATTAAATAAAACCAGACGCAGTAATATTTGGATTAAAATCAGTTTATCACATACAATGTAATTTGCCAAACCTTTATAAAACATTCCCATTTTTTTGCAGTCAGCCCTTAGAGAGAAGACAGGCCCACACAGATGGGGTTCGAGACATCAAATGGTGTAAGAGTCAACCTAATCTTCTAGCCACATCAGGTCGCCCAGGGAGGCAAATCAAAGTGTTCAATACAAGACATCACCAGGTTAGGTTGTTTATTGTTTTAAAATGTTATCTTAATTTTGTCTCCTTGATGTGTTTATAAGGGGTCATACATCTCACTAAGTCTGGCTTCAGCTCATGATGGGCTAATTCCCTTTTAATGCTAAAATTACTAATATATACATGTACAAAGAAAATTTTTTATTAGGTGGTTGAAACTTGTTATATGTGTGTAGAATTATTACATATACATGTGTATTACATAGGTTTGCAGACATTTATGAATTATCTAAATTGAAAATCTTGTATATAAAGGGAACTTTACTGTTTATTTTTGTTAACCAGACATACATGTATATTTATGCAATGTACCTGCTACCTGCATGTGGAAATATGGTAAATAATATGGAAAGCAAAAGTAATCTAAGTCATGTGACAAATATGAATTCATCATTTTATAAATACTTTAATACATGTATATAGATCTAATTTCCTTTCTCTTGATGTATTCTAATTTTAGGTTCCTCTGAACACTTCGTTAAAAGTATCATATGGAATGAGTTGGCATGCTCAGTTACCAGTGCTAGCAGTTGGAGGTGATTCACAGGTACATCTGTACTACATAGAACCAGCCAGGCAACAGACATGACACTGTCAGGGAACACTATCGCTGATAATGTTGGAGGACATTTTCAAAGGAAGAACTTGTGGATACTGGATAGTGATGTTTAACAGACACAACAGCACAATTATTGTGAACTCAGTATTGATGGTGTATGAAATTTTCAATCTCATGAGTTATTCAGGTATTGTCTCCAAGATATTGGTAATTTGTAGCTGAGAACTTGAGAACAGAAACTGCATGTAATAATGAAAACAAAATCTAGTTCTGTTTTGAATGTGTGGAAATTTTTTAGTTACAAATGAGGATTTTCTTGCATAGTATGGATTTCGTGTGTTTGGAAATTCATTATAAAATTAAAAGTATTGCAATGGAGAAAGATTTTTCCTTAATAAGAACCTTTAAGAATGAGTTTTAGCATTATGCTTTTGTAGCAATACACATACAATACCAGTGGACAAGATAAGACCCCTTTTAAGTTTTTGGTCTGTACTTCTGGGTGTTCTCGGAGGGATGCAATACTTCAAAGTTAAAGGGCATCATTTTCTCTGACATTATGTAATTATTGCTGTTCTTGAGGTCATTACAATGATTTAGACACCTAAGGAGTACAATATTGACTGAGCCCGGAGTATGTGAGACAATGTGTGCATTAGATGATAAGGTCGCAGCCCATGTCACCAAAATTGTGCATTTCATAGCCCCTGGGTCAGGGGTTCTGGAATTAGGGTAGGGCTCTAAAGCAAGTATGCATTATTGCTTTGAAAATTATCTCTGCTCCTGGGTATTAAGCAAAATAACTACACTGTAAGTACATGGTTATAATGAGTAAGGATGTCTTTTTTTGAAATTGTTCAATTTGAGGCCCAGGGTCAGGGATTCTGGTGTTAGGGAGGGACTCTTATTGATCTCAAAGTGAAAAACACCAATTCTTCAAAAATCTTCTTCTCTCCCTTGTACATTTAATTTACCAGACAATCTAACTCAAGGTAATGATGAGCAAGAGTGCCTCCACCATAATCATGAAATTCAAGGCCCCAGGATCAGGGGTTCTGGTGTCAAGATGGGGATCTATTGGTTATATAGTAAAAAAGCATTATTTCTGCAAAAATTGTCTCTGCTCAGATTGTATTATACAGATATATCTCTTGTAGTCGCCAGAAAGAATTGTTTCAAGGATTAATTCCATGTAGAAGAAAATATTGAGAAAATATCACAAAAGCATTGTATGCTAGTGTAATACACAATAATCTGTGTAAATAACATTACTTTTAAAATGAATATCATATTTATATTTTCTTTAATAGACACTTTCAGAATCCCTTCAGCTTGATAACGTTAAGCTGGAAAGAGATGAAATGCTACAACATGTCAGAACAAAAATCATTACACTATGACTTTTTTTCTGGAGAAATAAAATTCTTAAAAAAATGAAAAATAATTTTCATTTCAGTTAATATGGTCATTTCCAATTACATGAAACAATTTATGTTCTCTATATTGTGTCTTTCAAAAATGTTTTTAGTAAACTATAACGTTAACAAATACTGAGAATGAATGGACAAATTCAAGAGAAAAGAGTCGATGATCCAGCCAGAAGAGCAGAAAATATTAGAAAAGAGAGAAATACCTGTTATCCAGAAGCCTTTGCAAGTGAAAAACAAACTTATGGGGCATCACGTTTGCAAAGGAAATATATGCTGTAGGGGGTAACAAAAAAATTGAGGGTGCTTTAAACCTCTAACCGCCAAAGAAATTAAACTTCGACATTCACTCGGCAAATATTTGAATGAAGAAGGCGGAGTCCTTTAAATCAGGATTACGAATCAAAATGCAATCAAAGAAAATACACGGAAGAAAATGTCATAGAAACTCGAATTTATTATTTCATTTTGCACTGAAGGAAGCACTAAGGATTGTATGGTAATCTTTATTTTAAATAGAACAATTGCATCCATGCCGCGGAAATACGAACTTGCAAAAAGACACAGTAGTGCTAAATGTAAATCATATACGGTACCAATTTTGCTGCACCAGATGCGCATTTCGACAAATTATGTCTCTTCAGTGATGCTCAAGCCGAAAGGTTGGGAATCCAAAATTTGAATAAAAAGAATTTTCGAAGGGCTGAAAAAAAGTGCCGAAGACTAGAGCCAAATACGTCGAAGGATCAGAGTTATGCATGAGGGGGATAATCCTTAATTTTGAAATGAATTTCTAAATATTACCACGGCGGTTACCCCCCCCCCATATATATATATATATATAGATAGATATATATATATATATATATATATATATATATATATATATATATATATATATATATATATATATATATATATATATATATATACATTCGTTTTTTCAGGCTAGTACCGAAGTACATACGTACTAGGTTACTGGGCTGTAGAGACCCTTGGGGACTAACAGTCCACCAGCAGAGGCCTCGACCCAGGAGTCATAATGTAAATCATATACGGTACCAATTTTGCTGCACCACGTGCGCATTTCGACAAATTATGTCTCTTCAGCATTAAAGTGCACAAAGAATTTTTGGGATTCATGGACATACTCTGTTTTAAAGAGATAATAACTGTAGAATAACGTCAGGAATAAAGCAGACAATCACCGCCAATAAAGTTGAATCAAAGCTCTTGCTTAAGTGTATAGGAATTAAAATATATAACAGATAATTACATGTATATCATTGGGGAAAATATTATGTATACGTCATTCTACAGATGAAAGCCCTTCTGGGACATTATTTATTCCATAAGATGGGACAGAGAAATGTTTGCAAGAAAGTACACAGCGTACAGCAGACACCCTATAGTGAAAAGGAGGCCACGTACCTTAGATACACACTCACGGTTTGCATCCATATAATTTTTTGGAAAAGTTTCATATGATACTGAAAGCATAATGTGTATGTAAAGCAATGTCCAAAATTCAGCAAAATAAACATGAGTTGTTTCAATAAAAGATTACAAGGTAAACAAGTTTAATGAAGTTTTTTTTCCTGAAAACAGTTTTACAAAGCAAGAAGAAAATAAATGTAAGGAGAGAAAAGCCTGTTGAGATCACAGCTAAAGAAGAAATAGGCGTCACATCGGACGACCTCACAAGGGGGATAATTAACCAAATGAGTAATTATAATATGGATGAACCAGACTGAAGCTAGCAACCAATAACATCAGCCAATAAGCCCGTAGAAGCTAGCAGCCAATAAGGAAGTTCAACAAAGGACTGAGAGTACTCTGACGCAATACTGTTTTTGTACTTTATTTTAGACAATTAATTATTAATAATTAGATAATTAATGCAACACTTATTCACGTAATAAGTCAAACACTCGGAGGCAGTTAAGCTCACCTGCATAAGGATAATTATGCAGATTTAAAACAGAAAATGAAAAAAAAAGGAAAAATAATTCACCATTTTTGACCACTTAATACATTATTTTAGACAATAATTAGACAATTGATGCAACTTTTCATTACTTAATAAGTGAAATACTTGGAGGCAGTAAAGTTCACAAGCATAAGGAAACTTATGCAGTTTTAGAACAGAAAAAAAATTCACCATCACAGCAAAACCATGTTGATATGGAAGCATCCTCAGGTAGTGTTGATTAAAGTTTGTTCAAATGACGGCCCCCAGGGGTTGGGTGGTGTAACAACGCAGGATCAAAGTTTTTGCATAGGAATATATAGGAAAAAATCTTCTTCACAAGAACAGAAAAGCCATGTTAAGTCATATTGATATGGAAACATCATCAGGTATGTAGATTCAAGTTTGTTCAAATAATGACCCCAAGGGTAGGGAGGGGCCACAGTGTGGGATAAATTTTTTACAATGGAATATATAGGAAAAATCTTGCAAAACCTGCTGCTAAAGAACAGCAAAGCCGTTTGTAATATCGGTATGGAAGCATCCTCAGGTAGTTCAAAATTCAAGTACCCCCCCCCCCCCCCATAAACTTCTCAATACTGAACTGATTTTTGCTTTTACCTAACCAATGTGCTCAGATGAGCGATGTGGCCCATGGGTCTCTTGTTTTGTCTTGTGTTGTTCACAGTTACAAAGGATATATTAGACAATCATATTTTTAAAAAAAAATTGTAATGAATGTGCGAAATTTTAGAGAAAATATTCTTATAAATTTTGGTTAATTCCGATCGAAAGTGAACTGATCCCAACGAGAAATTCGCAATAATTGGAAATAGATAACATTTTCACTAGAATACTACATAATGTAATTTGTTTAGGTGTAAAACAGATAAAAAATTGATTGAACTTGACAATCAAATAAATTTCTTAGAGGTAAATACATAAAGAAGGCAGATTATTATTTAATTTATTTTGTGTTAATTTTGATCGGGGTCAGTTTAATTTTTATCGGGATTGGTCCAAATATTAAAATAACTATTTTCCCTAAAACTTCGCAATTTCATTTCAATTTCCTTTTAAAATGTGATTAACTAATATATTTTCCCTAGTTGTGACTAGTTGTGTGAAGATTTTATCCATAATTTAAAAAATGTTCACAAATCATGTGTTTTATATTCATAAATATTTTTTTTTTAATTAAAATGTATATCCAGCCTTTCTTCACATATTTTATTAAACATTAATATTATGCATTTATTAATATCAAATGTTAAACCATAAATCATCATATTTGCAAATAAAACATTTTTTTTTTTCATTTTCACTAAAATATGCAAAAAAAAAAAAAAAAAAAAAAAAAAAAAAAATCTTATAAAATAATCAAGAGCTAATATCGATCTTTCACTGCTGAAACCATAATTTAAAAGGGATGTCTTAAAGATCTATTAAATAAAATTCTGGTGTGGTATATTCCTCCTTAAAACTCAGTTTTAAAGAGACTATTCAAGGTATTTTCATCAAACTTAATACACTAGTTTAATTTTTTATGTTGCATCATTAATAAACCCTCGGCGGGGCATTCATGTCCTATGGACATTTTCCTAGCCTTTGTGTCGACTGGCATATGTTTGTCTGGCCGATCGTCTGTCACAGATGTGGAGAACTGTAAAAGGTATCATGGATTTGCACATACATAAGCCTAAATTTAGTGTGAGTTATTTCCCGTTGTCCGCCATAATGGAGGTCCAACTAGCGAATTTTCCTCTTTGAGCAACCGATTTTAAACTTGTATGGCAGAAATATAAGGGCAAAAATCTCTAAAATACCAAGATAACGAATTAAACGAAGCTTGTGTTAACATCAATTCGTAAGAAAAATTGTGTGATCTTCAACAAATTGCCCAGTATAACAAGTTTAATTTGGTTGAATAATGAAGGAATTCGGGCTTGAGTACCTCCAATATGGCGACCAGCGGGAAACAACTCTTGCTAAAATCGTATCTATCGAAAACTATTTATTGCTTGGCTATTTGGCTTTTGTAAACTACCATGGTTACCAACCTCGAGATTCTTGACCTTTGAGCTACATGTACTTTTCAAAATAGTTCTAAGTGTCGATATACAGGATACCTTTGACATTTAAAAGGTTAAATTTATGGTATTTAGCATTTGGATAATGTGGTTTGTCATAAAAACATGAAAATTACCAGTGTTACAATCCAGTTGACCTTTGACCTACTTTGCAAAAAATACCCCGGGCAGTTTA